AGGGGTTGGGGAAATTCGGGGAGCGTAGGGAAATCACTGCAGTGTGGCATATCTTGAAGCACACAGGTGAAATTACTTGCCTGGTCACCCAGTAGGCCAGAGGCCACTGGGAATAAACCCAAGACTCCTGAGTCTGTCTGTTCTAGCCATTAGGCCACACTGCTGGACCTATGTTCTAAAAATATGTTGGCTAAAGCTCAGCATCTGGTGGTCTCCTCCCATGGTGTTTCAGTGTTATGAAAGATGAAAAGATCTGTTAGTTCAGTCCACCATGATGCATTCAAACCAGAATCTTTTTAATGCAAAGATTTGTCTAATCTTTCCTTTTAAAATATATATATTTTTAATAAGGAGATGAATCTGTGAGAAGGCCTGATGCAGAAGTTGGAGCAGAAGTGACTAAACAGAGGAAAGTGCCTTATCCATTAGGCTACTAGGGCCCTGAAGGCCATCAGTGATACTTGTGTGGTCTCAGCTCAGTTCCTTGTGGGACACATGTTGATGTTGAAAAATACCATCCAGTTAACTTTGTTAGCATTCTCTAACACGGACTGAATGGTCAGTAAGAGGAAATGCTGACTTTAATTCCGAGATGGGGTCCCTCTCGATCATTTGCCACATTGGTAGGGCAATGTTCAGGAACTTGCATTATTACTGCCTGTACTGTATTCTGGTGGATAAATCAGGATCTTCCATTGACAGAGCTCTCAGATTAGTACCTTTCCGAAACTCTCCACTCTCTTAAAGAAAATAACGCACTCCAGAGTAAATATGTAGCTCATATTATGCAAACTCATTAGTAAACAAAACTTTTACAAACTTTTATCAACACACTTCTGCCATCTTAGACTTCTCTTTTTACTCTGAATATTTATCCTTATCTGGTATAGTTGCCTTACTGCGGGAGTCTGTAAACATGCTCCTCAGGTGTCCAATGCAGAGTTCACAAACCCCACCAAAATTTAAGTGGTTACTAAGTTACGTATTTAAGAACACATAAATCAAGTTCAATAACTGATATTCTAGCTATGTCAGAGTTGTGAATATGTTTGTGAATCTTGTCTCTAATAGTCTTTTCTACTTTTCAGATTCTTTATTCAAGAGAACTTAAGACAAATTGCATAAATCAAGGTACGCTTTTTTTAGTCTGGTCATGGTGTTTTAGTATATTGCTTTAGAACCATCTAATTAATTTTTTCCTTTTAATGGACCTGAAAAATAGGATTTGTCTAATTTTAAAATGCTTTGTTTCATAGCTTGTCTCACGCTTCACCTAGACCTTACTTAAGAAAAGAACAGTAGTGTCTTGGAGCAATTATTTTTTTCCAAGGGTCTATGTACCCCTCTCTTAGGATAGATTTTTGGTTTTCTATTCATACAAGGTGGACTGGTTTAACTAAATCAATTTAAACATTTGTTTTTAAATTTAGTTAAATTGGTGCAGATTCCTACATAGACACTTAAATCAGTTTAACCCAGGCTTATACTGATTTAGCTTAAGATGGCAAGGAATTGATTTAACTAAGTCAACGTAAGAAAGGCTTAAATTGAGTTATACATGTTCACAGAGGGTTTTGCACCTGTTTGATTTTTAAATCACACATTTAGTTAAACCATTGCAATATGGTGTGTATATTGGGCCTGTGTGGTGTTCCATTGCATGCTAGAGGAAGAAACTTCTGACCGGGGAAAAATGAATAATATAAATTTAATTCAAGTATCAGAGGGGTAGCCCGTGTTAGTCTGAATCTGTAAAAAGCAACAGAGGGTCCTGTGGCACCTTTAAGACTAACAGAAGTATTGGGAGCATAAGCTTTCGTGGGTAAGAACCTCACTTCTTCAGATGCAAGTGATGCTGATGTTGCTTTTTATAAATTTAATTGATTACCTTTTATAACTTACTTCTGCTGTGTTTCATTCATGGTTGGTTATGTTCTTAGGTTAGCAGTATAAGTTGACTGATAAAAAAGCAAGGTGGAAAAGAATGTCAATTTATTGGCTTGCCAGCTTGAAATATTCATATACATGTGCGCGAGTGTAATTTAGGTTTTAAAAGGACTGAAATATCGTTGATGAAATTTGCAGCTGGAAGGTCTCAAACTTGAAACTGAACTTCAGTTACAAAATGTTTTGTCTACTGTGTGGAACCACGGAGAGTGCATAGTAGAATACTAGGCTGCTTGTTAAAAGTAAATAAGATTCCTGAGACAAAAACTTAAAGGTGACTTGCAAAGGAAAAAAATCAAGATTTTGGCCCCATTTTAGCTTCTTTGTAATTTAATGCATATGCATACAGTATATCTGAAAGGTTTTTGTTAGTGTTTTTTCTATTTGATTTTGTACCTGAGAGATTCAGGTCTTATCTACCACTGGTAATTTGGAAACCTAGTGAAACTGGCATCAGGATAGATGGAAAGTTCAGCATCTGAGGCTATGTCTACACGACAGCCTATATCAGCATAATTTACGTCAGTTAAGGTGGTGATTAAGCCTCTCCCTTGAGTGAGGGGGCTTTGGCACAGGCAGGGCTTGGCTCCTCCTGGCCAGTGCTCTGGGCTGGAGGGTCTTGGGTTTTCCTCGGATGCCAGCCCAGTCAGAGGCAGTGAGGGAAGGAAGGAGCCTGCTGGCCAGGCTGTTCGTGAGCTGAGTGCTCTGACTAGGGGCTGGTTCTCTGCACAGTGCAGTAACTCCTCGCTTAACGTTGTAGTTATGTTCCTGAAAAATGCTACTTCAAGTGAAACGATGTTAAGTGAATCCAATTTCCCCATAAGAGTTAATGTAAGTAGTGGGGGTTAGGTTCCAGGGAATTTTTTTTTTTAACCAGACAAAATTCTATAATATTTATTTACTTACACACACGCACACACACACAGTATAAGTTTTAAACAAACAAACAATGTAATACTGGACACAGCAATGATGATTGTGAAGCTTGGTTGAGGTGGTGAAGTCAGAGGGTGGGATATTTCCCAGGGAATGCCTTACTGCTAAATGATGAACTAGCACTTGGCTGAGCCCTCAAGGGTTAACATAGTGGGTCTCATTTTGTACTGGTGACCGCTTTCACATAGCAAGCCTCTGAGTGAGACACCCCCCCCCCCCATATAAAAACATGTTTTTAATTTATATTTAACACCATTATAAATGCTGGGGGCAAAGTGGGGTTTGGGGCAGAGGCTGACAGCTCGCGACCTCCCATGTAATAACCTCGCAACCCCTGAGGGGTCCCGACCCCCAATTTGAAAACCCCTGGGTTAACACGTTGTTAATGTAGCCTCACACTCTACAAGGCAGCACAAATGGAGGGAGGGGAGACAGCATTGCAGAAGGGTGTGTGTGTGTGTGTGAGAGAAAGAGAGGTGGGGGGGGCGAGAGAGACAGACATACACCCTGTGTGTGTGAGAGAGAGAGACGCACATTACCCCTTTAAGTACGCTGACCCCACTCTAAGTACATTGCCTTTTGAAGTAGGTCAGCAAGTTGAGACAGCAGCTGCTGCCAGCAAGCTCCCTCTGTTCTGAGCCCTCTTGTGTCTTCCCTGTGCTCTGTGGACATTGGGGTAAAGGAGCAAGGGGGAGAGATGATATTAGTGCTCCTCTTCTCCTCCTTCCCCATCTCTCTCTCTCTCCTTTCCCCCTCCCCCCCCCTGCAAAGCTAGCAGGAGGCTCCTGGGTGCAGCTCCAAGGCAGCGGGCAGGAGCAGCACATGGCGGGGGCGGGGAGAGACAGCTGAACTGCTGGCAATTGATAGCCTTCTGGGTGGCTGCCACACAGGGAACTTAGGGGAACTGATGGGGTTGCTGCCAGTCCACCCTGGTTCCAAGCCCCCACCAGCTAGCTGCAACGGGCTGCTCTTTCTGCGAGCAGTGGACAAAGCAGGCGGCTGCCAAACAACCTTATAAGGGAGCATTGCCCAACTTTAAACAAGCATGTTCTCTAATTGATCAGCAACAAAACAACATTAACCAGGATGATGTTAAGTGAGGAGTTACTGTACCGGGAGTGGGATGTGCCCTGCTGGGGGGGATATGGAGGAGCAGTGGGATTGGGGGTGGGGGGTGGCATGAAAGGGCAAAAAGGAAAGACAGCGAGAGGGGGAGCACTTAAAGGGCCGATGGGTGGGCAGCCAAGATGACACGTAACCGGCCACCGTCTGGCGCCTGCCCACACTCATCAGCCACTGCAGCTTGCAGTGCGCAGCCAGTGCCAGCTGGAAAGGGGACACTGCCAGCTCTGCTGGCCGAGAGCTGGCACACAGCAGGGGCTGCGCTGACAGACCAGCAGGGGAGCGGGAGGCCCTGCCAGCTGCATCTTCACCCTGCCACCAGCCTTGCACACCCTTCCCTATCGTTGGCCACTGGACCCTCCAACTCACCGCTAGTGGACGGGCGGCTGGCAAGCAGGGGTCCGGACAGCAGCAGGAGTGGACCCATCAGTACTGATGGGCGGGGGAGACAAAATCCGGGACAGTTTGCCCGTTTTTAAGAAAAAGTTGGGACACTTGTAGGAGGGCTTAAAAACAGGACATCTGGTCACCCTATATTTATCCTGTGACACTCAGCATCTGTTTCAGCAACAACAACATTTCCCAGGATCAAACATTCTATGCCTATAATGTTGCACACCAGTAGCAGATGACCGGCTAGCATACATCCTAAAACACCAAAATCCCCTTAGCAGGATAACAAGTCTCTAAGGCCATGTCTGTACATACAGCGCTGTAGCAGTGCACCTGTGCCAATACAGCTGTGCCACTATAGTGCATCTGGTAAAGAGCTCTATGCTGATGGAAGAGCTCTCCCATTGACGTTAAAAAAAAAAAAAAAAAA